TGGTAGGTCAGACTTTGATGCTGGACCAAAGCTCAGATTCTAGTCAGCCTGAGCTTTGGATACTAGATTCAAAGTTACCCCTACTGGGAAAAATTATGCGGGAACATCAGAGAATACCTCTAAGACCTCTGGTCACCAAAAAGGTATTCCAGGTAGTGGATAGCAAACCCAAGAAACTACTGAAAGCAGGGGGTATAGTGTAAAACAGTTACTTTATTTTGTAGGTTAGCAGCAGCATCTTCCTAAAGAACCTTTACTAAACTGGGCTGTGAAAATAACTAATTTAGGGGCAGTATTTTGGTTTTTAAATGCTACAGAGTGGAAGACGATGTTTGGGTTGATACAGGACCCGTAGCTCACTATGGAACAATCACAGATGGCTATACAGGATCCAGACACACAGCAGGTTGTTCCTGAGGAGACACTGGACTGGATAAAAGCACGATAAGCTCTATTTACCCTGAGGAGGGGGACCCTCTGACTCCTCCTATAAATGCCAGCAGAGTGCCCCGGATGAAGCAGCTGATATGCCTCACATGCGAGTCAAGTGAGACGGGCTTTATGATAATCAACATATTCACCCACCGAATATGCCCACTCCCAGGTCATGGTAGATGCCGCGGTTAAGCGTGTGTCTAAGGAGGTATGTGTTGGATACGGGATGGCAAAGGCAGTGCAGCTACAAAGAAAATGAGAATGAGGCTTGAAAGGAAGAAGTTTATTACACTCACAGGTCCCGGAGATGGGGTTACTATACGCCATGCGGGGTCCCAGGGGAAAGCACCAGTGCAGGTCAGGAGGCAGGAAAGAAGAGTGAGGGAAGAGGTTAGGCCATAGCCTGGGGTGGGGTTTCTGCGGGAAAGGCAAGGCAGGGCAGAGTAAACGGTTTAGGATGGGCTAGTCTGAGCAGAGGGGTGGTCACTAGTTGTCTGGTACCCGGTCCTGGGATGATGTGGGCAGGGGAAGTATCAGCTTGGTATATGAGAGTTAGATAAGAAGTGAGATATAACTGGGGTATGTACTCAGGATTGGTTGGTTTGTATATGGAAAGTTTGCTCCTGGCCAAGCCCTTCACTATCCCTAAGAATTGGCGAATCCCTGGGAGACACAGTCTCCCCCTAGGTGCGCAAGGCCCCCACATGCCAGAGAATAGAGAACACAAAAAATAAGAGCACATAGTTAACATTACTGGCCCCGTGATGAGTGGATGCCAAATAGAAAAATACAGAGTCTGAGAAAATACAGTCGATACAGGGGACCCTTTTGCATGGTCACCTCCTGTAACTTTACTGCTGCAAAACTGAGCAACAGTCCAAGAAGCCTTATCGGATTTGCTTTCTCAGCTCTCCCTCATGGGCCTTACAGATGCCAACAAAAGTGTTAGATTAATGAACAAGAAAATCGGGAGAGGCAGAGAGGAGAGTCAAAGGATTCATCCCATCAAGGTGGACATTTTAAAATGGCTATTAAGAAATAAGGTAAATAAAGGAAAGTTTGATAAGAATGAAACAAAGAGGGGGAAAAAGGGGGTGGGGGGAGTGAGGGGACTCATTCCCAGCAGGGTAAAATTCCCAGCAGAAAAGGGATAAACCAAACAGACATTGATGGGGGTTGAAACAAAGGTCTTATTGCAGCACTACTGAAGGCTGGGCAAACCAAAGGGGTCGCTTCCTGGTTCCCCTACATTAAAAGGAACCAAACAAGTTCATTCTGTTTACCCCAGTTTGGAAAAAAATTTAAAGCCAGAGGTAAAGATTACAATGAGAAATTGAATCTGAAATTGCCTGGGACAATAATCAGACAGATTAATCATGGCAAAAATTGACAAAAGGGCCAGGGTCCCTTGGCTCGACCCCTCACTAGAGCTCCAAAAGCCTTCTGCACATGAGGGAGCAAAACGGTCATGGGGTGGAGAAAAATAGTTTCTAGAACTCCCTGACAAGGAAGCCTCATATACTATGGGTTCAAAACCCATAGCTATTGGCAACGCCCTAACAGGGGCTTCAGTTAGACTGGGAGACTATATGAATAGAAATGTAAGACTTGATAGGATTAAGATGGAGAGTCAGATGAAAATTACAATGTTTAAACAGGCTGTCTGGGAAGAGGTTGTGCTTCCTTTACTTGGAAGTTTTATGGGAACACCGCCCCTACCTAGTATTGTAAAACCAGAACCTGTCAATGAAGTCCTAATGGAGACTACAGTTAGAAATGTAAGGGCTGATGGGATTGAGGTAAAAGTGTGGAAGAAAACTGACATGTCTGAAGTGGTCATGTCTCTTTTACCTGAATGTATTCTGAAGATGGACATCGTGTCTGTCCAGGGAATTGTTTCTGTGTAACAGAAGGCATGAAAATCCACCCTTCAAGCAATGTTAAGTAGACATGCTAACCAGGAACAGATAAGATGGTCTGAGCCTATGCAATGAAGAAGAGAAGCTAGAGTGTGGTATGGGCAAATTCTCTGTGATAACTCTATGCGGAGTGTAGACTAGGGCTTAAGGCAAAGGCCTGTGAGTGCTTCTGACTAAAACTGGGGACTTTGGACTAGAGAATTTCCAATTAAGAGGAAATTACTAGCCTGTTATTAAACATTAATTGAAACTGCCCCTATGATTGAAGGACAAAAAATAACCTTAAAATCTAAAATATCAATGATGTCTTGGGTGGGTCAGAGAAATGCTCCAGTGGGGAAGGCAGTGCCCAGAAGAGTTTCATAATAAAATAGTTTACGCTGGATCTTCCTACCTGGGGAATGCGTGGATGAGATACTCAGAGCAGGGAGCCTCTTATCCCCTAGGACTGACTTTGGAACTGTGTGAGGAGCTGCTGGATTCCATTATATCATCACTTGGACAGTGCCCTATGAAGTAGCCTTTGACTGACCAACAAAGAGCTGCTTAGTTTGTGGATGGCAGTGCTAAGGTAAATGGACAAACATCCTGTTTGGAAAACTGTCACTGTTGTTGAAGAAGGTAAAAACAAATCAGCTCAGAGGGCTGCATTATCTGCTGTTCTCCCAGCAGTGATAGAATAATTGAACAATGATCATGCCCTTATGTTTCAGTGTCTACTGAGTCCTGGGTGACGGTCAATGGCAGGAATGGCAATGGAAATGATCTATAAAAGGGATTCCCATATAGGACACAGTCATGGAAATCATGATAGGAATCTGAGGTATGCATTAAAGTAGGACATGCAGATGCCCTACAAAAGAACTCCCTTCCAGGTTCAGAAGGTGATTGGAACAAATGGGTGGCTATCATGGTATGCTTGCTTGAGGTGGCCGCCTCGGTCTGTGAAATGAGTAGACAAGGCGGGAGGGGGGGTGCTGCAGTCATGCAGAAGAAGGGCTGAATTTGGACATATTCCTCTCGCACCCTCTGAAGCACAAAATGTCAACAAACCATCTGTCTGCCAACAAGAGAGACAGAGACTGCAGATGGCTATGGGGAAGATTCCCGGAAGCGGGGTAGGGCAGACAGGGTGGGGCAAGTGGATTGCATTGAGGAACCAATGCAATGACCGAGGGGCTACAAATGGGTTTTGACAAGGAGAAACACTGACTCTGCACTGGGCTTTGCTTACCTGGTGGTGGTAGATGCAAATGGTCAGAATAGCATGAAAGAACCAGGACAGACTGCACCAATGTGGATGCCAAGTCACATTTCTTCACACCAAGGAACACTCTTTATTTACAGCCCGTAATGTCAAACAATGGGCAAAGAGATCTCCTCCTCAGAGGAACAGTTTGATAGAGAATTCCAGAAGATAACTGAAGCATTAGTTATGTAAAATAGGGTGCAGCACAGGCGTGATGGCCTGGTTTACACATTTTCACCTGTGTGTGCTCACACTCAACATGAGCTAAGGGAGTGTCCCTACTAGGTAGATTCCTCTGTTTCTGGCTGATCTAGGGAAGAGTGGATGGGGGAGGATGCTGATATGACTATACAGCCCTTCCCAAGGAGGAGGATGCTGCTATGATGGCCATCCTTCTTTTCCTTCTACACATAACTTCAACCTTTTCTTTCTTGCTAGATGCAGTAGTTGCAGGACCAGGGCTGCAACCGTAAGTGCTAGAAATGAGATGATTCCTATGCAAGAAACTGTAACTATAGCTTTAAACCTTTATGTCAGAATTCCTAAAGGCCTGATTGTGCCTTCGCGCTGTCTGACAAATTGGGGTTAACAATGAATGCAGCTATATTGCCTAGTGGTAGAAACAGCCATTAGTTTGGTACCTATGTAACTCTATCCCACATGTATGATGGGGTGGACTGAGGAAGACGTACTTGCTAGATTAGTATTGCTGCTTGCAATCTTGACCAGCACAGTGGCCAAACCTAATGTTCCTTGCAAAGTTTGGTATAAACAGAGAGAAGGAGGAATAGTAGCTGAGAGTAAAGGAATAAATAAATGGGTTATATAACAAGTCCTGTGAGTCACCCTAGCAAATTATTGACCTGTGGAGTGGGAATCCCTGACTTTGTAGCCAAGTCAGACAGAAGTTCAGGTAACCTGGGGACTTGGTATACTTGAGACTGGTGTCCGAACTGGGGGCAAAAATGTGCATCTGAGCCCCTAACCTATGGGGTCTGCCCTAACACTGGGAGTTCGTATCAGAATTGAATTGAATTGTTGGACATCTAGTTATTGTTCGGACAATTGGAGAATTGGTTTGTGGTGTTAGAAAACACCCCAGACAAAATTCTTTGATAAACATACATTACTTTTATAATGCAAAAAAGTAAAATGAACATTATATTGTAAACGAAGTTAATATAACTTGAACACTAAATAATCAGCTTAAATTGTCAAAATTTGCTGATATCCTATAACTATTAATGAAAATATTTGTGAAATGAACAAAATTTAATCACTCCTAATTAAACCCAAACCCACAAATGCAAATTTTCTTTGGATAGCTTATTTCTTCTTCATTCTTGGCCTTAACCATATCTTAACCATCAGTGCCTAGTCTATACACTATGGCTCACCTCCTATGTCTTCATCTTCATTGGTTGGTCCTTCTGCACTGTCCACATTTTCTATTTCATGAGGTTTGGTTAAATTGTAGTCATTCAAAACTGTTGGACTTTCTAAAAGACAAAAAGAGTTTTAAGTATGCAGTCAATTTTTTTTTTTTTTTGAGACAGAGTTTTGCTCTGTTGCCCAGGCTAGAGTGCTGTGGCATCAGCCTAGCTCTCAGCAACCTCAAACTCCTGGGCTCAAATAATCCTCCTGCCTCAGCCTCCCCAGTGGCTGGGACTACAGGCACATTCCATCACACCTGGGTAATTTTTTCTATTTTTAGTTGCCTGGCTAATTTTTTTTCCTATTTTTAGTAGAAACGGGGTCTCACTCTTGCTCGGGCTGGTCTTGAACTCCTGAGCTCAAGTCATCCTCCCCCCTCGGCCTCTCAGAGTGCTAGGATTACAGGCATGAGGCACTGCATATGGCCTACAATCAACTTTAAAGGATTTTTATAAATATGTATTAAGTAGACCCCCATTTAGTTTTCAGCCTCACATAACCATTTAGTGACAGAGAATATCCCCCTTCATATACACCCAAAAGGGATATATATATATATATGAAAACTCTTGAAGTTCAGAAATATGCCCAGGGTTCATACACCCTTCCATATATACAACTTTCTTACATATAACTCTCACCTGAGTTATAATAATAAAATGCACTCATGTTCCTTCTGGACAAAAATTCCCCCTCCATTGGTACAGCTCATGATATTCAGCAGGATACCACTGCTATTGGTGACCAAGAAATATTAATATGTAATAATAAGAAATATTGAGCCTCCAAACACCGGCATGACCAAATTTGGGAAAGATGCTCTCCTAAGAGGAAGGGTGTAAGCTTCTGTATGGCAAATTCTATTTTCCCTTCTGTTCACATTATAAATGTGATTCTGTGGAAAAATATTGGACAATTGGACCCCAAGTTACTTTATTTCTTTGAACATTTACTAAATGCTGACAAGGCTAGAGATATGAATAAGTCATCATGCCTGTCCTCAAGGAGCCCAGACTTTGCAGATATACCTAAGAGAAGCCCACAGTTACAATGCAAGGTAGATTCAGAGAAGGGATTAAAAGAAATACAAAGTGTTAAGGCAGTTTATAAGTGAAAGTGAGCACATAATAAAAGCATGCTTAAATAAACAGCAAAGTTGTTTATTTAAAAATCAAGTTTAGGTTCAGCCTCTGTGGAAAGCAATATGGAGATACCTTAAAGCGATACAAGTAGATCTACCATTTGATCCAGCAATTCCACTACTGGGCATCTACCCAAAAGATCAAATGACACTACAAATGGGACACCTGCACTCGAATGTTTACAGCAGCACAGTTCACAATTGCAAAGGTGTGGAAACAACCCAGGTGCCCATCAATACATGAGTGGATTACTAAAATGTGGTATATGTATACCATGGAGTACTACTCAGCTTTAAGAAACAATGGTGATATAGCACCTCTTGTATTTTCCTGGATAGAGCTGGAACCCATTCTACTAAGTGAAGTATCTCAAGAATGGAAAAACAAGCACCACATGTACTCACCAGCAAATTGGTATTAACGGATCAACACCTAAGTGGACATATAGGAAATACATTTATTGGATATTGGGCGGGTGGGAGGGGGGAGGAGGAGACGGGTATATACAAACATAATGAGTGAGATGTGCAACGTTTGGGGGATGGTCACACTTGAAGCTCTGACTCGAGGGAGCAGGGGGGCATGGGCAATATATGTAATCTTAACATTTGTACCCCCATAATATGCTGAAATAAAAAATAAGTAAATAAAAAATGAAGTTTAAGGAAAATATAATTTTGCATAATAGATACTTATAATACTGGAAGAAAAAAAAGGAACAATTTAGCTGCAATTATTCTCACATATAAGCTTAGCAGCTTAACAAAAAATGATAGCAGAAGAAATGAACTGAAAATTCACCCATTTTCTATCCAACTCCTTCCCAGTACGCAATAGAATATTTACTACATACCTATTAATGCAACAAATAGTCAAAGACACTGAATAATGGAGCATCTAAGTAGGGCTGCAGTAGGGGAGGTGACTAGGAACCCTGTAGTGACATTCCTTTCAGCAGTAGCCATGACCAAACCCATGGAACAGGACATTTGCTGGAATGCAGGACTGAAATGGAAACATGTTTCATAAAATCCATCACTAAGAGGCCTTGTAAATGTGGTCAACAGGGACCCATTTTTTGTTTATGAATATCTAAAGTTTCTAATTTCTGCATATTATAATGCATAGACTATAAACTCTAAGATACTGATCTAGACAGTGGTCCACTTTTCTCAAGCCTGAAATGAGTAAAATATATTGCACACCGGAACAATTAATATGAGGTTCAAATTCAATTAAAATATGAGGTTACAACTCACAGTAATACAAAAAGGCACTTAAGTGATAAATTTTGTAACATAACATAAGTTTTGATTCAAACAAAGTGAGTTAATGAAAAAAATGTAAAAGTTATTTTTAGGAAATAAAATTATTTTAAATGTTTACTGTATATTCTAGAGCATGAGTCAGCAAACTATGGCCTGAGGGCCAAGTCTGACCATAGTCTGTTTTTGTATGGGCCCAGGAGGTAGAAATAGTTTTAAAATTTTTAAAGGGTTATAAAAAATACAAAGAAGAACATGCAACAGAGACCATATGTGGCCTGCAAAGTCTAAAATATTTACTAGCTGGCTCTTTACAAAAACATTTTCTGACCACTTTTCTAGAGCAAACAGCACAAGTCATTCAAACATAAGCTACTCTATTATTCAACAAAAACTGTCTTTATCCAAACCAATCAGTTGAAAAATTAAAAAAAGAAAAAAACCCAGTGATCAACATTAGGCAGAATATGGTTGGGCCCTATGATGCTAAAGAACTTACATAAGGCCGAGCGAGGTGGCTCACACCTGTAATCCTAGCACTCTGGGAGGCCAAGGCAGGTGCATTGCTCAAGGTCAGGAGTTCGAAACCAGCCTGAGCAAGAGCAAGACCTCGTTTCTACTATAAATACAAAGAAAATTAATTGGCCAACTAAAATATATATAAAAAATTAGCCAGGCATGGTGGCACATGCCTGTAGTCCCAGCTACTTGAGAGGCTGAGGCAGAAGGATAGCTTGAGCCCAGGAGTTTGAGGTTTCTGTGAGCTAGGCTGATGCCACGGCACTCACTCTAGCCTGGGCAACAAAGCAAGACTCTGTCTCAAAAAAAAAAAGAACTTACATGATCTAAAATGGGTAAGTTTTTTTTAATCAGAAGAGACAACCACATTTTTAAAAAACACATTTCCATAGCATTTTTAATATAATCAGAATAAGCATGTTCCTTTTTTTTGGTATTTTTAGTAAAGGTATATTTATAGAGAGGAAAGACCTCATGTTACCTGTGGGCACAGACTGCTCCTGAGCGCTTTTCAGGTCTACATTAGGTTGTATATCTGAAAAGAAAGAGGTTATAAATATTAGCTACTTTGGGTACATTTCTACAGATTTGAGCATTCCAAATTTAATAAGGATATCATTTTGGAAAACTTAGCAAAATTCCTTTTTCAAAGCAGGACTAATCCTCCTCAATACTCTTTCTAAAAGTGTCTCAAGGAGGATGAAAGAAAGTATTGATCCAGCAATGCTACTCTAAGAACGTTCTGTCAGAGATCTATTAATACTTACACCATAAACAACAAGCAAAAAGTGGGTCCCCTTAGAGCGAATTTCAGATACCATGTATTCTTCCCCCAAATATTGTATTGTGAATATTCTCGAACATATAAAAAGTTAAAAGAACTGCACAGTGAACACCCAATATCCACCAATCAGATTCTACAATTAACATTTTGCATTTTTGCTTTATCACATACCTTTCCTACTTATTAATCACTCAATCCAGCCATCAAATCTTAATTCTTTGATGCACTTCAAAATAAGCTGCACAGAACGGTACACTTGACTCCTAACACTTCCACATGCGTATTATTAACTAGAATTCAATATCTGTTTATAAGATTTTTAAGGTAAAATTTATATACAGTGAAAGCACAGATCTTAAGTGTACCATTCAGTGAGTTTTTAAAAATGCATATTTTTGTGTAACACAAACCCCTATCAACATACAGAACATCGTCACGATCCCAGAAAAGTTCCCTCATGTCTCTTCCTAGTCAAGCCCCACCCACATACTACAGACACAACCACTATTTTGATTTCTTTCCACCATAGACAAGTTTAGCCTATTTTAGAACTCTATAAAAATGGAATCACACAGACATATGGTATAAACTCTTTTGCCTGAGGCTTCTTTCACTCAACATAATGTTTTGAGACACATCCATCCTGTGGTGTTTGTTGTTCACTCTTTTTTATTGCTTAGTAGTATTCCATCATATGACTATCCCAGTTTATCCATTCTTCTGTCGATGGACACCTAGACTGTTTCCAGTTTGGGCTATTATGAATAAAACTACGACGATATTTCTTTTTTAATAATAAACTTTTAAATTTTAGAATAGTTTTAAATTTACAGAAAAATTGCAAAGATAGTACAGAGAGTTCCCATACACCCCATACCCAATTTACCTTATTATTAACATATGGCTATGATACATTTGTTATAATTAATGAACAAATATTGATACATCATTACTAAGTATTCAGATTTCCTTAGTTTTCATCTAATGTCCTTTTTGTGTTCCAGGATGTCATCCAGGATCTCCCATTAGATTTAACCATCATGTCTCCTTAGGCTCCTCTTGGTTGGGATAGTTTCTCAGACTTTCTTTGTTTTGCTGATAACCTTGACGGTTTTGAAGAGTACTGGTCAGGAATTTTGTCCCTCAATTGGGATTTGTTTTTCTCATGATTAGATGGGGATATGATCATCCTTGTTCAAGTCTTTTGCTCATTTTTATTAGTTTGTGTATATTTTTATTGTTTTAGGAGTTCTTTATAGATTATCAATATCGATCCTTTGTCAGATATATATTTTGGTAATATCTTCTTCTAGTCTGTGACTTGCTTATTTGTTTTATTTTATTTAATAGTGTCTTGATATCCACAAGTTTTATTATTATTATTATTATTATTATTATTTATTTATTTTAGAGACAGAGTCTCACTTTGTTCTCCAGGCTAGAGTGAGTGCCATGGAATCAGCCTAGCTCACAGCAACCTCAATCTCCTGGGCTCAAGCAATCCTCCTGCCTCAGCCTCCCGAATAGCTGGGACTATAGGCATGCGTCACCATGCCCGGTTAATTTTTTTTTTGTATGTATATTTTTAGTTGGTCAATTAATTTCTTTCTACTTTTAGTAGAAATGAGGTCTCCCTCAGGCAGATTTTGAACTCCTGACCTCGAGCAATCCGCCCACTTCGGCCTCCCAGATCCACAAGTTTTAAATTTTGAAGTTTACTGTATCAATTTTTAAATGGATATTGCTTTGTTACAACTTACTTAAGAAAATTTTATCATCCCCAATTTGTGACGATATTCTCTCGTTTTCTTCTATAAGTTTCATAGTTTTGGCTTTTATGTTTCACTCTATGATCCATACTGAGTACATTTTCTTCTTCTAAGTGTGAGGCGGAATTTGAGCTTCATTATTTTCCACATGGACATTCAGTTGTTCCAGCACTATGTGTTGAAAAGACTTTTCTTCCTCCATTGGATTGCTTTGGTGCCTTTGTCAAAACTCAAATGACTTTAAGAGTACAGGTTTAATTTTTAGTTCTTTATTCTGCTCCAGTGATATACTATCTATCATTACACCAGTACCATTATGTCTTGATGCTACATAGGAAAGCTGTGAAGTCAGGTAGTGTAAACCTTCAACTTTGTTCTCCTTCTTAATGTTTCTTTGGCTACTTTACATCCTTTGCAATCTCATATAAATTTTAGGATAAGATTGTTTATTTCTTAAAACTCAAGAGGGATTATAATTGGAATTGCATCGATCAGTTTGAGTCTTAAAAATGAGTTTTGCAATCCATGAACATGATACTTCTCGCCACTTATTTAGGTCTTCTTCAATTTCCCTGAACAATGTTTTGTAGTTTTGATATACAGGTTTTACATGTTTTTTGTTAAATTTATTTCTAAATATTATGTTTTATGATGTTATTATAAGTGAAGTCTAAATATTTTGTTTACAGTTAGTATATACAAATATAATTGATTTTTGCATATTGACCTTGTATACTGAGATCTTACTAGATTAATTTATTCATTTATGGAGTTGTTTGGTATATTCCTTAGGATTTTCAATGTAAGTAATCATGTCATCTGCAAAATGAGATGATTTCATGTCTTCCTTTCCAATTTTTATGCCTTCAATTTCTTCTCTTGCTTTATTGCACGGCTGGAATTGCTAGTACAATGGAATAGAAGGGATGAGAGTGGACATCCTTGCCTTGTTCCCAGTCTTAGAAGGAAAATGTTCAATATTTTGTCATAAATTATGATTTTAACTGTAGGTTTTCCATAGAGCCCAAGAAGTTTCGATTACAAATTTGCTAAGGGTTTTTTGTTAGTTTCTTTGTTTGTTTTGAGACAGGGTCTTACTCTGTTGCCTGGCTAGGGTGCAGTAACCTAGCTCACAGCAACCTCGAACTCCTGGGCTCAAGTGCTCCTCTTGCCTCAGCTTCCCAAGTAGCTGGGACTACAGGCATGTGCCACCATGCCTGGCTGATTTTTCTACTTTTATGTAGAGCCAGTGTCTTGCTCTTTCTCAGGCTGGTCTCAAACTCCTGGCTTCAAGTGATCCTCTGTCCTTGGCCTCCCAAAGTGCTAGGTTGCTAAGAGTTTTTGAAATCATAAATGAATGTAGAACTTTGTCAAATACTTTTTCTGCATCTATTGAAATTATATATTTTTTCCTCATTTATTCTATTAATTTGGTGAATTACTTTGATTCCAAAGTATAAGAGATACTGAGACAAAACCTGGGATAAATTCCTGGGATTATTAAATCATTTGCACTCCTGGGATAAACCCCTGCTTGGTTATAACATATTTTCTGTTTTATGTATTGCTGGTTCCAATTACCAATAGCATATTAAGGATTTAAAAAAAATTTGTTTGCCTTATCTGCCTAGTTTATTAAAGATTTATGCATCTATGTTTGTGAGTAATTTGGGCCTATAATTTTCTTTCCTTTAATGTCTTCTTTAGGTTTTGGTATCAGAGTTTGGTAGTATTCCTTCCTCCTTTATTTTTCTGAAAGACTTGGATGAGATTAATTTCATATTCTCTTTATATGTTTGATACAATTCACCTGTGATACCCTTCGGGCCTGGAGTTTTCTTTTGATAATAATTTTCATTTCTTTAATAGATATAAGCCCATTCTGATTTTTAAAAATTCCATTTTGTATTATTTTTGGCAAGTTGTATTTTTCAAAGAATTTTTCCACTTTAAGTTGTCAAATTTATTGGCATCAAATTGTTTGTAACATTTGCTCGTTATTCTTTTAATATCTATAGGATCTACAGTTATATTTTCTTTTCATTTTTTATATTGCTAATTTGTATTGCTTTTTCCTGGTTATCTGTTTTTATAAAAATATTTTCAAAGAACCAATTTCTGGCTTGCATAATTGTCTCTATTGTTTGCCAGTTTTCAATGTTATTGATTTCTTCTCTTTATTATTTTCTTCCTTCTATTTCCTTTGGACTTAATTTACTCTTTTTCTGGCCTCTTAGGTGAAACTTTAGTGACTGATTTCATTCTTTTTTTCTATAATAATTATAAGCATTTAAAGCTACAAGTGTTCATCTAAGCGTGCTTTAATTGTATCTCATAAATTTTTTTTTTTTTGAGACAGAGTCTCACTTTGTTGTCCAGGCTAGAGTGAGTGCCGTGGCGTCAGCCTAGCTCACAGCAACCTCAAACTCCTGGGCTCA